CCTGGGAGGCGGGGCAAGTCGAGCTTCAGGCAAGTGTCGGCAGCCTGAGAGAGGCTACCGACATGGGGGAAGAGCGATGACACTGGTACGGTACCGAAGTGTGAGACAGCGGGTGAAATGAAACGCAGTTTTCGAATGCGCGAGCTGACATGCTGGTGCCGTACGCGAGTGGAAGCAGTCCGTATGAGGTACCGGAGTGGTGGCAGAGGGTGGCCATGACACGAAGTTGACCGTGCATGTCTACATGCCTGCCCCTCGGGTACCGTAGCAGCCCCAGACAGCCTGGCTGCCGCAGCGCGCGTCCACGTCTACAAAGACTGTCATGTGTCATCGCGCAATCCGCGACTCCAAAAAGTTACCCTGTGCCCCGCGATTGCCAGCAGGGGCGGGTGCGTGTCGGGTTGCTGGCAGCCAAGGGACCGGCGTCGCCGGCCCAGACTAAGCAGCCTTCCGCAGCGCGTTAGCCAGCGCGCTGGCCCACGAGATACCGGTACACCGCTGCCGTACCGCTGCCGTATCCCCGCAGCCGTACTTCCGTACCGTCGGACTGCCGCACCTACCTGCGCTGGCCAGATCCGCCACCCCCAGCGACTGCAGGTACATGGGCACCCAGGACTGCAGCACGAAGAAGCCCCAACCGATGACGCCGTGGCACCAACAAAGCGCCGCGACCTGCGGGTTTGGGTTGGTTTCGGAGCGAGGGTCACAGGGGTCATGCAAGGGTCCGCGACGGGTGGCGGAAAATGCCGGTAGGGGCGGCGATGAGGGCGGGTGCGATGCGTTGCGCAGCCAGCGTGCGGGTGGTGAGGTCGAAGTACCGGTACAGCAATGCAGCGAGGGCGGGGACAAGGGAGGGGGACAGTAATGAACGCGAAGGGCGAGGAAAGGCTGGCGTGGCGATGAGGGCTGGGAGGTTCCATGGCTAGCTTCGATATATTTCACGGTGAATTTTCACCCGCCACCCTCGTGTGGGCGGTTCCGATGAGGGCTCCACGCTGTCTACCGTACCCAGCCCGCACCCACCTGCACAAGAGTGGCTCGCCGCCTCTGCGCCGTCGAATCACCCGTCGCCGCCGCGACCCATGGGTCGGTCTCAGACCCTCGCCCGGACGTCGACGCCCCGTCGCCGAGCGACGCCACGCGCCGCCGCTGCGCCTCCGCCTCCCCAACACCATCCCTTGCTGCCGCTGTCGCCGCCGTCAGGCCGCTCACTGCTGCCGGGTCCGTCGACGCAGCCGCCGACGGCACCGTCGGTGCGCCTTCCTCTGCCGCCATCAGGCCCTGTTGCGGCTGCAACTCGCCTGGTTGCGGCAACAGCGCCCCTTGCTGCTGCTGCTGCTGCTGCTCCAGCTGTCGCTTGTCCGTGTTTCGGAGCTGGGAGGGCAGCGGCGGCCGCGCGCCCGCCCGCGCCACGATAGCGCTGCCCAGCACTGACCACAGCACGCCGCCGGTGGCGGCGGTGACGAAGGCGGCGGGCCATCCGCTTCCGCCGCCCCGCGTGGCCAGGTGAGGTGCCACGACGAGGCCCAGCACGCCGCCTAAACAAGCAACACCGAGGACACACGGCCGAGGTACTGAACGTTTTCGAGACCCGTAATGTTCGACGCGATACCGTAACAGCGGCAAAATGGACTCCACGGCTCGATCCGTCCGTCAGGAAGGACGAGGAAAACGCACTCTCGCGCCCTCGCACCCACCCGCCCCTTCACCCACCCGCCCCTGCACCCACCCACCCACCCACGTTGAAGAAGGCGTAGATCATGGCCAGTGTGGCTGCCTTGCGCTCGGGTGGCACCCACTGCGCGGTGGCGGCGGAGACGGCGGGCATGATGACGGAGGAGAAGAGGCCCATGGCGGCGCGGGCGACCAGCAGCGTGACCAGCGCTGCGGAGGGGGAGGCGGCGGCAGCGGCGGCGGACGTGGCGGCGGTGGCGAGAGACCACAGCGCCAGGCCGCCCAGGAGCACTCTGCGGAGGATGCGGGGCAGGGCAGGGAAGCAGGGGCGGGGGCTGTTTTTTGTAGAGTTCAGGGACAGGCAGGTGGTGGTGGCTTGTTTGCGAGGGCAGTACGTCATTGCTGCTGGTCGCAGCAAACAAGCTTCCTGCTGCTGCTGCTGCTGCTGCGGCGGCGACGGCTTAGAAGCCGCCCTCTTCTATCCCGAAAGCCCGAACCTCCACCAACGCCCCTTCGCGGCCCTCCCCGACGCCCGGCTCCTTTCCTCAACTGACGCTCGTAGTCTTCATTGCCCCCTATGCCACCCCTCATCATCTCCCACCTGTCTCCCCCCCGCTCATCCGCGAGGCGCCCCGCCGGTATCTGTCCCGCCAGGTAGCCCCACAGCATGGATGACTGCAGCAGGCCGACCTGTGAAAGAAGCGAGTGGGAGAGCGGGGGGAGGAAGGGTAACAAGAAAATGCCGCAGCGGAGACGGATGCGGCGTGAGCGAACGGACCGGGGGGAGCGGGAGAGGACTACGTAGCCGCGCGCCCGCCCCTGCGCTGTGTCTCGGCCCGGTCAGGGCCCCTGCTGCTCGTCCTGCCTCAGGACGAGTCGCCCACAGTGTAACACCCGAGGAACCGCAGTGATGCGACGGAGGCGACGTGGGCGAATACATGCGCTTGGGGGTTTGCAAATGGGAGGGCAGCGAATGGGAGAGCGCATTGGGTGGAAGGCGGGTGGGGGAGCAGCGGAAAGTGGGCGGGGATGGAGCCTGAATGGGGCCCAGGGAAGTGGAGGTGGTAGGACAAGAGAGGAGGGTTGGGGAAGCACAACGGGTCTCGGAGCGCCTTTCGGTGGACAGGTACCCTGGCAAGGGAGCGGTGGCGGTGGAGGGAGCGATGGCGGGCGATTGAGGGCAGCGCTTCACGATCGGCAGCCGAAGCCGCAGCGCAGCTCAACGTACGGAACCAGCGAGCCTCACCTCCGCCGGCGTCAGCGCCAGGCTGCCAGCCACCAGCGGCAGCAGCGCCGTGAAAACGGAGCGGTGGAAGTTGCACAGCAGCATAGCCACCGCACATACAGCCGACACGACCTGCCAGGGCTGCGGGCGGGGGGTAGGAAAGAAGGTACCGCAGCGGAGGGACGTCGGCGGCGTTATCGGACGGATGCAGGACCCAAGAAAGGGTCAGGGGCTGCTGCTGCTGCTGGTTTGTTCCAGTTAGTTTCAGGCCTTCACAAAGGGAACGATTAGGGCAAAGGAAAACACAGGCGGTGATGGGGAGGTGCGGTGGAGCGGCCGCGGAGTAGCGACAGGTAGGCGGGCTTGGCAGGAGGGCGGCAGCCAGCGCCTGACCGCGAGCTAGGGGTGCCACGCGTGCCATCATTGCAGGAAGTGGCAGTGGGTGAGCGCTTCGGAACTGAAAATGTCGGAGGAGGAGACTCCGCTGCCCACCTGGGGCCGACTGGCGGGGGAGCCGTAGCGGCTGGAACTTGGCATCAAAGCCCGCGACGCTCCCGCGGTGGTTCTCCCATGGCGCAACGATCGCCCAGTACATTCATCGTAAGCCGTGAGTAATTTCCAGCGCGTTGTAAAGCATGGTGGCTGGAACGCCAAGGTCGATGGCAATGGTCCGACTGCGCGGGCACATGAAGAGGCTGCTACTAATAATAAGTGTTTCACAGTATTGCGAAATCGGAATGGTTGTGATTTGATGTTCCGATAAAGGTCTGGAAATGGTTTGCGACTTTGAGATCGCGGGCTCGTCAACAGCTGTGTAGATGGAACAAACGACAGGCTCATTGTGACTAAATTGAGCTGCTGCTTGCAAGATGAAAACGTGTGTAGCGCGTTTGGCTCGTCATTGGCCGTGGCTCGCGCGGTGCATGAACTGCATGATCTGTCAAAACTCGTACCGGTTCCATTTACGGTACACACCGAGCATATAAACCGCGGAGAACTTATAATGAAGGCCAGGTGAAGGCCAGGTGAAAGCCATAGATAGCATAGATAGCGCCTGTCCATTGTACGGCATCTAAGTTGCTCAAGAGTGCCGTGCGTATCCTGAAAGCTGCTTGATGTTGCCATGTGCTTCTTTATGTCTGTATGTGTGTATGTCCGTATGTGTATGTGTGTCACAGTAGTGTGGGGACGTTCATTCTGGGTCTATGCTGGAGGGCACAATCCTCCTGTAGTTTGTGCACTTAGCGCACCTTCCACCACCTACCGTCACACTGTGTAACTGCATGCGATTCCAAGGCGGCTGGTCCTGCCACCTAGGACTCCACCCGCACCTCATCCGTTCACCCGGCATGCATCCGTATAGTCTGAGGGTTTAGGGTTTTAGGGTTCCAATAATCAATACCAATCAAGCGTGCTCAATCAACAAGCAAGGGATCTAGGGTCCAACTCCACATCTCAGCGTAGCAGCTACCCATAATTTCGGCGCTCCCGACAATGTCGGGGTACCGTCCACCTGGAAATCGAACCCAGCAGGCATCACCAGACATGGTGGTTCTAAGTTGGTAATGGGCCCCGGGCGGCCCAGGTGCACGAAGTGTGCTGACTATGTTTGCCATGTGCTTCTATCTTTCATTTTATCAATGTGTCCTCACCCTCTCCAACCTTGCATTGTTGAATGTCACCCTAGTGGGACGGACTGTATAACAAGGTGTTTTTCAGGTAGGTCGATCACCGTGAGCTGTACCGTGCTGTACCGACCTGTGTGCGCGGATGGGAGAAAACGTGTGACACGGCCCGCTTAGGATCCGAGCAGTACTCGCTCATGTAACATCCCACACCATACATGTGCGGCCCCCAAAGATAACAACTACGCATGTAGACAACCAGATAGAATCAAGCTTGCAACACCTGACCAATAATAAACGGTGATTGTCGTCCTCGGTGTGTGATTATGCACCATTCTCTAAATATTCCTCACCGTCTACACACGGAACTACTGGCTTCTAGGTCCGTGATCTCGTACTCCACTGCGATTACGGTGATGGTATAGAGGATGCCGCCAGCGCTTATACTTGCTCTTCCTGGACTCGTTTGACATAACTGCTGACATCCAGATTCGAACTGGAGACCTCCCGCTTACTAAACGGGTGCTCTATCCAACTGAGCTATGCCAGCACATTCCACCTCACACATCGACATATCCACGTACGGCATACTATACTGTAAACTACGTACATACCTCGTTTCGCCTGCACACTACGTAGCTGCATCGGTGTAGGGCATCTGCGGATGGATGCATTGCTGTTGTGGTTGATTGTTGCCCTGAGGATCACATAATGAAGAAGAAGCAGAGCCAGCAGCAGGTCAGCTGGCCGTGCAGTGCAGTATAGCGGCAGTAGAGATGAGCCGGGCTAGAGGGAAAGCATGCCCAGGCTAGCTAGACAGTGCACGTCACCCAGGCAGGAACGTGATGGCACAGGCGGCTGGAGACTGAAAAACCAGCAGCAGCCATGCATGTGGGTAAAAGCGGGGATATTATTGCTTCCATGTTGGTAATGATCCCCGGCGGGCAGCCCAGCCACACAGTTAGGTAGGTGCACGAATTATGCTGACAGCTGCTAGCTGCGTGTTGCTATGTGTTGCCATGACTCGTTTGACATAACTGCTGACATCCAGATTCGAAATGGCGACTTCCCGCTTTCTAAACGGGTGCTCTATCCAACTGAGCTATGCCAGCACATTCCACCTCACACATCGACATATCCACGTACGGCATACCATACTGTAAACTACCTACCTCGTTTCCCCTGCACACTACGTAGCTGCATCGGTGTAGGGCATCTGCGGATGGATGCATTGCTGTTGTGGTTGATTGTTGCCCTGAGGATCACATAATGAAGAAGAAGCAGAGCCAGCAGCAGGCCAGCTGGCCGTGCAGTGCAGTATACCGGCAGTAGAGATGAGCAGGGCAAAAGGGAAAGCATGCCCAGGCTAGCTAGACAGTGCACGTCACCCAGGCAGGAACGTGATGGCGCAGGCGGCTGGAGACTGAGAAACCAGCAGCAGCCATGCATGTGGGTAAAAGCGGGGATACTATTGCTTCCACGTTGGTAATGATCCCCGGCGGGCAGCCCAGCCACACAGTTAGGTGCACGAATTATGCTGACAGCTGCTAGCTGCGTGTTTCCATGTCTCTTAGAGTCCGTGACCTTATACTCTACTACGATTACGGTGATGGTATAGAGGATGCCGCCAGCGCTTATACTTGCTCTTCCTGGACTCGTTTGACATAACTGCTGACATCCAGATTCGAACTGGAGACCTCCCGCTTACTAAACGGGTGCTCTATCCAACTGAGCTATGCCAGCACATTCCACCTCACACATCGACATATCCACGTACGGCATACTATACTGTAAACTACGTACATACCTCGTTTCGCCTGCACACTACGTAGCTGCATCGGTGTAGGGCATCTGCGGATGGATGCATTGCTGTTGTGGTTGATTGTTGCCCTGAGGATCACATAATGAAGAAGAAGCAGAGCCAGCAGCAGGTCAGCTGGCCGTGCAGTGCAGTATAGCGGCAGTAGAGATGAGCCGGGCTAGAGGGAAAGCATGCCCAGGCTAGCTAGACAGTGCACGTCACCCAGGCAGGAACGTGATGGCGCAGGCGGCTGGAGACTGAAAAACCAGCAGCAGCCATGCATGTGGGTAAAAGCGGGGATATTATTGCTTCCATGTTGGTAATGATCCCCGGCGGGCAGCCCAGCCACACAGTTAGGTAGGTGCACGAATTATGCTGACAGCTGCTAGCTGCGTGTTGCTATGTGTTGCCATGACTCGTTTGACATAACTGCTGACATCCAGATTCGAAATGGCGACTTCCCGCTTTCTAAACGGGTGCTCTATCCAACTGAGCTATGCCAGCACATTCCACCTCACACATCGACATATCCACGTACGGCATACTATACTGTAAACTACCTACCTCGTTTCCCCTGCACACTACGTAGCTGCATCGGTGTAGGGCATCTGCGGATGGATGCATTGCTGTTGTGGTTGATTGTTGCCCTGAGGATCACATAATGAAGAAGAAGCAGAGCCAGCAGCAGGCCAGCTGGCCGTGCAGTGCAGTATACCGGCAGTAGAGATGAGCAGGGCAAAAGGGAAAGCATGCCCAGCACTCTGGGAACGGCCAGGCCTTAATGGCGCGAAATCCCTTCATGGCCACTTCATGGCCTCTTCATGGCCAGTATATGCCGCCGCCATGAAGATGTTTGGGTACCGGCATGAAGGGTGGTCGTTGGCATGAACAGGGTGAGCCACTTCATACGGCAGCAACCGTCTTAATAACGAAACCAAGTTCGCCATGAAGACCGGCGGTCCTTTGCCCATCTTCATTGTCCACAAGCGAAATATGCTTGATAGTATATGTAGGAACAGTCTGGAGACTACCTCTAACTTAATGGCAGTCAAACCGCTCTAAAGGGCAAAATATGGCCTTACGGTGTGCCCTAAAGGTCCAACCACCCTAGGACTTTTGTATTTCGGTAACAAGTAGTCCATGCAAATACTCCAGCTTAGCAGGGTGTAGGTTTCCTCACGTTAGTTGGCCATGGTTGCCCTCCTCCAGCGTTCATAGTGAAGGTCGCTTTTTTACAGTATAGTTTCCAGGCTATTAATATAAACAATTTGACTGTACTGGCGAATACTCCAGCAGCTGCAGAAGCAACTTTGCGGGAATGGTTGTGCAGCTTGCCGCGGGCATAGCGCAAACGTCCGCATGCCGCATGCAGGGTTGAAGGGTTCTCCTATCTGCTTGCGTGGGCTATTGCAAGGAGCTGGCCGGGCACAGTGCTGCAAAGGTGCGACGGGTTCGCAAGCGAGCTAGTTGTGCAGCTTTGTCACACCCCAAGCACCCGACAGCGCTCCCTTTCCCTTCCCCGGGGCCAGCAGATCTGCCCTGTCGAGATTCGGGTGCGGGCCTGGGCGCCAGTTGCGGGTGCATCTGTTCTGAGGGAGCGGGTTATGCACCTGGGGCCGGGGATCTGTCCCGTCGGGGTTCGGGTGCGGATCTGGGCGCCAGTTGCTGGTGCGTCTGTTCTGAGGGAGCGGGCTGCACGCCCGGGACCAACGGCCCCGTCGGGGTTCGGCTGCGCGTCTGGGCACCAGTTGCAGGCGTGCTTCTTGCGGGGTTCCGGGTCTGGTGCCTGGGGCCGGGGGCGTCCATGGTCGGTTGTCAGGCCTTTGTCGGGTTTGCGCGGGAGAACTCCCTTTCTTTCGTGCCGTGCAGCTGCAGGCAAGCAGGCAGGGGTGTGATGCCTGCTTGCCTGCTTTCGCCCTTGCTTTTATCGCCATTGTGCCGGTTGCTTTAACCCCCTTCCCTGCTGCCCATTGCTGCCGTACACGAGGCCAGGGCGCGCGCGGGCAGCAGCAGCTGGCTGGGGAAGATGCCATGTGCGGCCTGGTGCAGGTAAGCGCGGGGATGGGTGAGGGCAGAAGCGGTGCGCCGTGCTTCCGGCTGTGCATGGGGGCAGGCAGCTGGGCCTGCGGCTGATACGGGCAAGGCTGCACGCTGGGCTGCGGGCACTTGAGCGTCGAGGGCGCGGATCATCACACCCCAAGCACCCAACAGCGCTCCCTTTCCCTTCCCCGGGGCCAGCAGATCTGCCCGGTCGGGATTCGGGTGCGGGTCTGCGGGTCCGCGGGAGAACTCCCTTTCTTTCGCGCCGTGCAGCTGCAGGCAAGCAGGCAGGGGTGTGATGCCTGCTTGCCTGCTTTCGCCCTTGCTTTTATCGCCATTGCGCCGGTTGCTTTAACCCCCTTCCCTGCTGCCCATTGCTGCCGTACACGAGGCCAGGGCGCGCGCGGGCAGCAGCAGCTGGCTGGGGAAGATGCCATGTGCGGCCTGGTGCAGGCAAGCGCGGGGATGGGTGAGGGCAGAAGCGGTGCGCCGTGCTTCCGGCTGTGCATGGGGGCAGGCAGCTGGGCCTGCGGCTGATATGGGCAAGGCTGCACGCTGGGCTGCGGGCACTTGAGCGTCGAGGGCGCGGATCATCACACCCCAAGCACCCAACAGCGCTCCCTTTCCCTTCCCCGGGGCCAGCAGATCTGCCCGGTCGGGATTCGGGTGCGGGTCTGCGGGTCCGCGGGAGAACTCCCTTTCTTTCGCGCCGTGCAGCTGCAGGCAAGCAGGCAGGGGTGTGATGCCTGCTTGCCTGCTTTCGCCCTTGCTTTTATCGCCATTGCGCCGGTTGCTTTAACCCCCTTCCCTGCTGCCCATTGCTGCCGTACACGAGGCCAGGGCGCGCGCGGGCAGCAGCAGCTGGCTGGGGAAGATGCCATGTGCGGCCTGGTGCAGGCAAGCGCGGGGATGGGTGAGGGCAGAAGCGGTGCGCCGTGCTTCCGGCTGTGCATGGGGGCAGGCAGCTGGGCCTGCGGCTGATACGGGCAAGGCTGCACGCTGGGCTGCGGGCACTTGAGCGTCGAGGGCGCGGATCATCACACCCCAAGCACCCAACAGCGCTCCCTTTCCCTTCCCCGGGGCCAGCAGATCTGCCCGGTCGGGATTCGGGTGCGGGTCTGCGGGTCCGCGGGAGAACTCCCTTTCTTTCGCGCCGTGCAGCTGCAGGCAAGCAGGCAGGGGTGTGATGCCTGCTTGCCTGCTTTCGCCCTTGCTTTTATCGCCATTGTGCCGGTTGCTTTAACCCCCTTCCCTGCTGCCCATTGCTGCCGTACACGAGGCCAGGGCGCGCGCGGGCAGCAGCAGCTGGCTGGGGAAGATGCCATGTGCGGCCTGGTGCAGGTAAGCGCGGGGATGGGTGAGGGCAGAAGCGGTGCGCCGTGCTTCCGGCTGTGCATGGGGGCAGGCAGCTGGGCCTGCGGCTGATACGGGCAAGGCTGCACGCTGGGCTGCGGGCACTTGAGCGTCGAGGGCGCGGATCATCACACCCCAAGCACCCAACAGCGCTCCCTTTCCCTTCCCCGGGGCCAGCAGATCTGCCCGGTCGGGATTCGGGTGCGGGTCTGCGGGTCCGCGGGAGAACTCCCTTTCTTTCGCGCCGTGCAGCTGCAGGCAAGCAGGCAGGGGTGTGATGCCTGCTTGCCTGCTTTCGCCCTTGCTTTTATTGCCATTGCGCCGGTTGCTTTAACCCCCTTCCCTGCTGCCCATTG